TTAATGTCTTGCCAAAGGACATTAGTGCTGCAGCGGGACTTGAACCGCGGACCTTGTAAACCACAGTCCGGTCACATATCCACTCGATCACGACACCTCTTCTGGAACTATGAATAATATTTATTATTATTATCATTCTTAACATTATTAGAATCATTATTTTTATTATTATTTGTATCATTATTATTATTATCATCATCATTAATATCATGATGATCAGCGTAATCTCGAGTGTAAAGACCATCATTATGAACGCGTAATTATAGTCCAATACCTTGTAAGTCATCATCATGTCGTTTACATTATCCAGCAACTTTCATTTGCTCATAGAAAAAGGTTAAAAAATAACAAAAGAGGTAATGATATTTTTTAGAGCGAACAGAATGACTAATTTCATCTTGTGAAGGAATTGTCTTTATCCACCCCTTTCTCCTCTTTTATAGACATGTCATGATAAAACGAGGATGTAAAGAAGTCATTATGGATGATTTGTTGCGACGAACTGATTGTTTCATAACACAGTAACACCTCTAAATCAGATTTAGTGCCTCATTTGACTTACCTTCGTCTTAAAGGTATAGCACGCTACACATATTGAGCTACGATGCAAAATCGACCACATGCATTATGAATTGCAGGATTACCAAGAAAAAGGATGAAATATTCTTTTTAAATAATAATGATTTTTAAACAATGAGGTTCATTGTGTGTATCTTAGGAAAGAAAACGAGTTAGAAAAGAATAAATAAACACGGTGACAGAAAGATAATAATTTTGATGTATCACTTTTGCTTTTTTTTCAAATAATTTCAGGAGACACAGTGGCATAGTAAAGGGGGCATGGAGGCATACACCCCCTCCCGTTAACAGGGGAAAAAAGAGAAAGTGAGGTAGAGTATATAGGAAAGGCAACGTGGAAGATGATAATACCCCTTCCCCATCCTACCCTCACTCGATGACTTTATTATTTCGTATTTCATCCATCAAGCAATACCGGTGCCACCCCCTCCCCCTACTACTTCACAGATACCCATACATTACCATGGTTGGACACGTGATACCCATGCACTGCTGATACGTCAATGTGTATTAGAACAATTTCATATTTACTCGAAAATGTTTACCAGTGCATTAATATAAAACAACATGGGCAAATCTTATACTTAAAGATATACGTGAATAACCTATGATGGCTACAGTTCCATCTGTGTCCGAGATAGATATCTGGAGATTGATCGTAAAAATGACAAATAATAAGTCACTTGATTCCTTTTCAGCTAATATAAGATTTATGGAGTCTACTTGCCTATATATAATGATCAGAAACAACATAAAAATGTATGATTATTAAAAGATACGACACTTGTCGTGTCAATCCCCTTTTTCACGGGGGATAGTAGGAAACTGCACAAGCCATACTTTCTCTGATAATTGAAAATAACTATATATTTAAACATCATGTTCTTCTACATCACTTTCCTTTATGCTGGTATACACGAAACATGAATAGTACTATGCAACTCTGTGCTGGTTGCTTCAGATTTGAAAGTGGCGTTGATTATGTGCGTTTATGTTCTGCGTATTAATGATGGTCCTCTCACTGATCTATATATAGCGAGCTAGGCTTCAAATAAATGAGAAAAAATTTGTCTGTCGGTACATTTAGTCTGACACATGACATTATGACAACAGAAGATCATCTATACATTCAAGTGTGATATACATTCCCATAGCTTAGTATTTTGAGCCAGTTAAGACGGCCATAGACAAAATGACGAAGGATGATACATATCGTGATAAGACTGATGATTTAGAACAGGTGGGAGAGAAGGATGGAATAAAAGGATGATTTATCACAAGACTTACGTCAATAGTTTTTTGACAGTTTTTTAAAACAATTATGATATTGTGAATAGTGCCTATGAATGGCCCTCGTCGAGAGAAAGGGGGGAAAACAAGAGAGAGAGAGAGAGGGGGAATATAATGTAGAATGAGGAAGATTACTAGTACAGTATAATAAAGAGGGAAATGGGTGAGAGGGGAGAGAACGAAGAATGAAGAAAGAGGGAAAGGACAGAGAGAGAGGGGAGAGAGAGAAAGAGAGAGAAAGAGAGAGAGAGAGAGAGAGAGAGAGAGAGAGAGGGAGGGGAGGAGAGGGTGGAAGTGTGAGAGGGAGAGGGAGAATAGGAGAGGTACAAGGTCCTCAATTATTAATCCAACTCACATTTATATAATTGTGTATTGTTCAGTTTCGTATAACTATCGCTAATTACTTAATAACTAAATTTAAGTATCTTCTTCCTGATAGCATCCCAATGTGTATACTTTCTTCTTTGTTACGAAATTGTCTGGGACAACGTATATATTTATGTTTATTCGATGGAATGAGCAGTAAAACAGAATGATCTGTTTGATTCGTATATCAATACATGTAGTTGGATTTTTTTTTAAAAGTTATCTACAGAATCGCATATTTATTCCACTATCTCAAGTAAACATGTATTTCTAGATTACAGAAATAAATAAACTTTGACAATTTCAATCCAATTTATCATGCACCTGTATGCAGTAACCTGCAGAATGTGCAAGACGGCAAGACCCGGAAAGACGGTATCAAAATCTTTCGATTAATTTGCTATGCGACCATGCACTAACAGCATATCAAGCTGCACTTAATGAAGCAAAGCATAAATTAATTTGAGAGAGAAGATGGAAAATTGGGCACATAAACTTTTTCTTCCAACGAATGAAACAGAAAAGATGACGTTATGAAAAGAATCAAACGTTGCCATAATGATATTATGTAGTACTACGACAAAGAAGAAGAAGAATTTGTATACACGGAAATATGCCAGTGTGTGGAGACTGAAAGAAAAACTTGAAACGAAACCTCAACAAAAAAAAATTCAAATATAAAGGTCACAGGTGTTTTGTTGTGTTTTAATTCTTCAACTTTCAATGATTTATAAAGACCCCCTCCCCTATTTGTAGGTACCCCTTTTGGCAATACCCTCATGCAGTATAGAAAAAAGCCTCACTGCCTCTATCAACTTTATATACCCCTACTTACCTATTTTGTTTCTTCCGGAAAAGTGGTTGATAAATCAAATGTTTCATATAATTAATAGGTCGGGGATGGTTTTTAAAAATCCCATTACTTTATTATCATGATTATCTAGTTTTCCACACCCTCCCCCCCCCCCATTTTTATTTGTAGGTGCCCGTTTTTGCAACATCCCGAGAAGTCTTCAAACGAACGTCACAATGCTTCTGACAAACCATATACACATTTCTATTGAAAGTTTTTCTCCCGGAACAATATTTAAAGAAAATTCATATTAAAGAAAATTTGTAAAATATGGAAGCATTAACATTCCTTTGCGTGCATGAAGCAAGGCGCAGTCTGCTCTTCCAAGAAAATGTGTTTCTTTTACACATGAAGGGCAAGACCAAAGTCATTAATCTCTTCAGTGATTTAATGTCATCGATGGCTCATTAGACGGAGAAGCTCCTTATTGGTATAAGATATTAATTTAGGTTCAATTTAGGTTTGCATGTCTAATCAACGCAAAGACAAGTTCACAGTCCTCAATGATCAGTCGCACCCACTTTCTGCATATTATAGGGTTCTCAGAAAATGAAATATCAGCGACCAGAAAAATAATGATCAACAAACATTTTTCCTTTGAGGCTTAAATACATTTTATTGCTATAGTCAACATTTTCATTTCACGTCATGTGTTATCGCTTCGCACCAGAACTGTCAAAAATTTAATTAATCAGCTATAATATAGAATAGAGTGAGGTCACTTGTAACATATCATGTTGAAGGCAAGGTAAGAAATTGATATATTCTCTTCCAAAAATGCTGGCGCCAATTTGTCAATTCATATGGGTGAAGAACTCTTTAAGTATAGGCCAAGGTTTTTCCCTTTCCCCCATTTCCCTTAATGAGATAATGAGAAGAAGAAGAAAAAAAATCACAGATGCATAATTTCTAAGCCCTGCAAATTATATTATCAAGAGAGTACTTTATAAAGACAAAGGCAGATCTCGGATTCTCTTGCTGGGGAAGGGTCTTTCTCTGAACGCCCCATGCCCCCCCCCCCCCCGTCAACAAAAGAAGCAAGTTATCACATTTCCAGGGACCATTACGGTTCCAAATTTCTGCCGGAGCACAGTTAGGGGGCAATTTTTCTAACAGTGTGTATATTTTATGCCAGATTAGGTTTATGGAGGGTAGTGTCCCTGCCCGTGCCCCTCCCACGTGCCCCTCCCCGTGCCCCTGAACCCGCACTGAAATGATGCTATTCATAGTTTGCAATCGATGCGTAGTCAAGACAACCATTCTGCGAAATGAAACGGGTAACTCATTGTTACTCTGGTTATTCGCCTTCTTGAAGAGGTATTGACCCCTTTTGTAAAGCTTGCGTGGGCACGCTCATGGGATGGGTAAAGAATAGAGCACACCTACAGCTCCAGCTATGTACATTGCTATTTATAAAGGATGCACTTTAGCAACAAAGTGTTGTCGTGCATTGAGAGAGGTATTCTTGTTCGCAAGTAATACCAAATGAATCGCCTGAGAATTTACCAATTAGTAATTGCACAAAGTTGAATTAACGAACACGTTGCAAAAGACAAAAGGCGAAAGTACGAAACCAAGTATATCCGGCCGATATCCGGCTAGAGAGAACATGAAATACCTTTATCTTCGTCCATAAATCGATTAGTGATGCTGAAATTACGCTTCGACCGAAAAAATGACATTACAATGTTATCCCTAAATTTTTAGAATTCCAAACTATACACCTTCTCCTTTCGTTATAAACGATTTTGTTGACAAAGATTCTTCTTTAATGACATTACTTGTATCCACTCGTAAATGTTCAACACAGATAACCTCATAAATATAATGTAACGGGTGCATGTTTATCTGACACAGTTGAACTTAGCATGAACCCGATTTCAATCGTCATTTTAAGCTGGGGTTGACTTACCATTTCCATTCCCCTGTCTTGGTTCTTGTGAATGTGATAGCAGCCTCGAGGAAGAGCAAGAAAGACAAGTTGAGTAGTAGCCAGTAGGCCTGCTGTTGTTTAACCGTTACAACCCCAAAGACACTAATCATGGCTGCTATACAAAACACGCAGCGAACAGTCATTCCCTGCAGAATCATTACAAATCGAGAGACCCCCATTTTTGTTCTTCTCTCCGATGTCGACGAGGAGTTCGAATAAGGAACGAAATCAAAGATACGAAGTAAATCTGGCGGACCACGACGGTATAACGACGCTGAAGAGGAGTGATTGTAAACCAAGTGTAAAATTCCTGAACAACGGTGGTATTTCCTGAAAGTACTCGAGTTGAACGATTAGTTTTGAAGAACTAAACGACATCAATAATTTGTGTGTATATAGTATTGTTGTTTATGCAGGGTCTAAAGGGATAAGGCATTCATGTGACTGTATGCCAGAGTTTGTCAAAGCCTTTATCAGTCCGAATAAGTTGCTCAAAAGAACTAGAGAATCAAGAGCACACTTCCGCAGCACTATCTTGGTTTGCTTTTGGAAGTCTAATGGTTCATAGGTAAAATATGTGTTCCGGAATCCGATAAAAAGCGATTCGAAAAAGATCGGATGGAATGAACATGATACTTTGCAGAGTCACTTGGCAGCTTGCTTTCCAAAAATGCTTGTTAATTAATTCTGCTTTTGAATCTTGTGGTCCTCAGGTTTCTTTAACGATTTATCGTGAAAAACACTGTGAGAGTGAGAAGCGAATCGAAGAAATGGAGATCACAGAAGCGTCTGTCTACCTTAGATATGAAACCAGTGATCATCAATCCAAGCTATAAATCAACTCCTCAAGAAACGGTGACATAAACAACTTGCACTGGAAAAGTGTGTCTGCCTTTCTTCGCTTCAGTTTGATGGTATATTACCCGTATCTCTGCAACCAAGAAGTTCTGCTGTTTACCGCGCCGTGACGAGATTAGAAATCAAAATTTACAATCCAATTTGCTGTCGCGGACTCCGCCACCACTCGATCCGACGCACTCACACACCACTATTGAAATAAAAGTTGCTCAGCCAGCATGGATGGGTGATAGGCGGTATCATCCGAGCGAGTCCAAGGGTAGGATAGAGAGAGTTGGTGGTGATGGTGGTGGGAAGGGGGGGGGGGGGTTAGGGGATGATAATTTGGCAATGGTGACGTCGTGGCACGCTACACGGTTCATAGCGAAGAGTTGGACCGAGTGGTGTGAGGGTAATCAGAGGCTCGAATGATCATCGGCCAACGACGAAAACCTTGCCAACGTTAATCACTGCATGCACCGACCAGCAGACGACATGTAATATGGAGAGCGCGGGGGAAAAGCAGGCACAAAATGAAGAAGAATGATTGTAAAAGCAAACAATGATGATTGGTGAAGCGGGTTTGTTTTTCACTGTGAC